TATTTTTCTACTTGCATTTTTTACCTGCTTTCGGACTGCTAGGTTGGCAGAAGCTGGGACAAGTCACGGGAGCTCACTCCGTTACGCGGCGCTAGGGATTCCAACTGCCAAACCGTCAACCTTTCTGATTGACAAGCTCAGCATCTTAGCCACTGAGCTACCACGTCCGTTTCTTACCAGTCACTTTCCCTACCTGTGAGTTTGTGCATCTGTGCATGCGCTTTGGTTAAAAAAAGAGGACCTAAATCGGATGCCATAGAGCCGGGACAGGTGGTTGGGGCCATCAGTGATTTCCGCTACCGGTTTGGGTGAACCAGTCCGAACCGGCAGAATGGTCACGTGTGATCTCCTTTTGCGACCTTCTGACAAGCAAAGTCAAAGGGGAAGCCAGGTTCACTTAACAACCGTGTTACTCGCTTGACAACTGCAGCGTCAAAGAAAGGCGAGAAAATGGGGAGAAACTCACTTCACACATGTTTCACTTAGCAATACAAAATTTGGGGCTCATCTGTAGCTGTTTCACTTTTCACCCTGTTTCCCCCCATCCTCCTCCCGCAGGCAGTACCTGCAATGCATGCATTGATGAGGGAGACGCAGGCTCCGGTGAGCAAGGCTCGCAGGACGACGCTGGAAAATTCACTCGTGCGTTGCGGTGCCATCGGAGCTTCGTGTTAAAAGAAAAGCAGATGGAAGATGTGGATGTCTACACTTTGAAATTGCTCACCTCAGGGCCACTTTTGCTAACTGAGAATAACCAAGCCTTTGGAAGGAGAGGTTGGGATGCTTAAGCCACAGAGGACGTAGCTATGGGACAGACCGTTCCTTCCCCGCCCCTGTCAGCAAAAAGAGTCTTTTTCCTCCCGCCATGAAGTCTTCATGCTCCCCACTGGTTTGTTGACTTACTCAAGCCGCCCAGCATGATCCCAATAGCGCTCAGGTTGGCAAATCCACACAGAGCAAAGGTTATTATGGTTTCAGCTCTGGGCTAAGGAAGGAGAGAGAGAGAGAGAGGAAGAGAGGGGGGAGAGGGAGAGAGAGAAGGAGAGAGAGGGAGAGAGGGAGGGAGAGAGGGAAGGAGAGAGGGGGGAGGGAGGGAGAGAGAGGGAGAAAGAGAGAGACGAGATAGAGAGACAGAAAGAGAAGGAGAGAGGGAGAGAGAGAGGAGAGAGAGGGAGAGAGAGAGTCAGATAGAGAGAGAGATAGACAGAAAGAGAAGGAACAGTGAAGAGAGAAACAGAGAGAGGGAGAGAGGAAGGGAGGTGGAGGAGAGAGAGAAGGAGAGAGTGGGAGAGAGAGACAGAGAGACAGAGAAAGACACACAGAGAGAGACAGAGAGAGAAGGAGAGTGGGGAGACAGAGAGAGGGGGAGAGGGAGAGAGAGAGGGGAGAGAAAAGGAGAGAGTGGGGGAGAGAGAGAGAATATAATCAGTGTTGTGATAAAGAATAAATTCCCCACCCATTCCTCTTCCAGTTGGCATATTCCAGTTTTCCCTGCTCAGCACTTGCTGTTGGATACTCAAGCAAGGATAGTCAACTTTAGGGATCTATGACCATTCAACATGGCCAACTCGCCATGGCCAACTTGCGGTGGGACAACTTGCTGCAGGACAAGAGTCCCACTAGTATCAAAGATATTACATGTCGAGTTGGCCGTGGCAAGTTGGTTGTGGCGAGTTGTCCCCATTCCGCAACTTTAGGATGTGTGGACTTCAACTCCCAGAATTCCCCAGCCGGCATGGGGAAGTTGAAATCCAGGCTTCTGAAAAGTTGCCAAGGTTGAAAAGCATTGGTCTTAAGAAGAAACATCCATTGAACCTCTTGTAACCACATGCCAATCAGGACGTCCATGAGTTTGTTTCTGAGATTGCTCCCACCAAATCAAGAAGAGGGCAGGGTAGGTGGGCTTGGAGGAGAAGGAGCAGTGGCTTAGGACCAGGGTACTTACCGAAATCCACTGCTTTTGAGGACCATCCCACTCGGGCAGACCCATCAGACGATTCTGTTTGTAGACCGACAATTGCTGGTAGGCCACAAATTCATTCAAGAAGAACTTGACTCCCAGCAACTCAGCAGCCCGGGAAGCCTCTTCCCAGCTCACCCCTAACAAGAAGGCTAAAGGCATCAGGACGTAGGAGCAGATCAGCTGAAAGCCAGAAGACAATTCTTTTAGGAGCGTTGTAAGGAAAGTGGTTGGCTAACGCCTCGTGGTTGGTCTCTTGCCATCTTTGGACACTCAGTCCATGGCTGGCATCTGCCATTTCCTCTGCACATGTCCATTGGCCCGATGTTCTGACCTAGGCCTCCTGGGACACACACTTAGTCCCAAAAACCCTTTTTATTTCAACGGCTGTGAATTATGGTCATTCACAGCCCGTAATGATTCACCGCCAGTGAAGAGTCCAACAGAAGTCTGTCACAGTCTTTCAGGATATGGCTGATAAACACCCACCTTTATCGCCCTTGAAATGCTGCCAGAGACCTAATTGCCAATTAGTTTTGCAAGCAGAGCACAGAGTCAAAACGGAGCTTCAGAGTTTAAACCGACCAGAACGAACAAAGTTGCTTCCTCTAAAGGCTCGTATCTGTTTGCTCCTCTTTTATGTCTTATGAGAGGGGCCGATCATCTCCAAGCCTTACTCCCGAGTTGCCCCTTTTGTCTTAACTGTTCTTACCTTCTGGCAGCTCTGTGCATTCACACACTGGGAACAGGCTCCNCTGTTGTGCCTTAAAATGGCTTCTACTGTACTGCTTTAAAATGGCTTCTACTGTACAGCGCAGTGGAGTTGCATTGGTAACGGCTTCACAGTATTCCGTAAGAGGGCTCCCTTTGGTAAAGGGGAAAAATCCAACATTAGAACTCATGTTTCGGGGGGCACAGGGAAAACCTTTTTAACTCATTTAATTGTCGCCAAAATCAGGGCTCAAGGAGAAGTTGTTCTTGCCATTGCCTCTTCAGGAATTGCGGCGACATTAACGGAAGGAGGGAGGTCGGCCCATTCTGCACGTACGTTGCCACTTGACATCACCCTTCCTGTCTAATACAGGACTGGGATAAGTAAATGCCAGGAAAACGGCGGGTTATCAGCTAGTTCATTATAAATATTGCTGCTTGATATTCATGCTTGAGTTGCCCAAGCCAAAGAAGGGAGCTGAGTTCCCCTTGTGGACTCTCCCCTCCCCCCCCCCCTCCGGTGGGTCATCCAACAAACCATGCAGAACCTCATTCAATGTCCTGGAACTTCTATTGAAGCTGTGATGTTGAAGTGGCAGGGCCCAGCTTTGTCTTCAACGCTCCTTCAGACCCAGGATGGAAGTTGCACGCCCTCCTATAGGACAATGAGTTTACAACAGGGGTGTCAAACTCGGTTTCGTTGAGGGCTGCATCCAAAGTTGTGTTTCACCTTGGGGGTCCGGAGTGGGCGTGCCCAAGGTGGACATGGCCAGCTCAACATCCCTCGGGTCAGGGTCACCTGCGGTGGGCCAAACGCTCTGCCAGCAAAAACAGTCTCCTGAACTCCGTTTTCAGCTGCGACGGCCTCCTGCAGCCCTCTGACAGTAAAAATGGGCTCCCGAGCTCCGTTTTCAGCTGCGATGGCCTCCTGTAGCCGTCTGCCAGCAAAAACGGAGTGTTTTTTCGCTGGCAGAGGCTCCTTTGCTGTTTCCAGACGGCCCCGTGGGCCAGATCTAAGCACTCTGCAGGCTGGATCCAGCCCTTGGGCATTGAGTTTCACACCATTGGTTTACAAGAATATGGGGAGAAATTGGAAGTGAGTGGGTTGTGTAATGCTGACTCAAAAAAAATTCATAATAAACAACCTAGGGTTGAAGAGTTGCTGAATAAAATGAAATGGGATGTAACATGTCTGTGGAAGCAGCGGAGACTTTCTCTGAATTTTATGTACTGTATGTGCATTTCTCTGTTGAAATCTGGCTGGTTGCCAAGACTTTGGTAAGCGTAGACTTGAGAACATGGTTTCTTGGAAAATACGAAGGAGGACATTGGTTTATTTTCAAAACAAGTGATTTTGCCATCTGCAAGTTTGAGGTTTTTTTTAATTACTTGGGAAGAAACTCCGTGGTGAGTGGGGTTTTCTCTCCAGCGCAATTCAGTGGGATTATCTGTGGGTCAGTGGTGGGATTCTATTTTTTTTTTGTACTAGCGGTTCTGTGGGCATGACTTGGTGGGCATGGCTTGGTGGCCGTAGCAGGGGAAGGTTACTGCAAAATCCCCCATTCCCTCCCAATCAGCTGGGACTCGGGAGGCAGAGAATAGATGGGGGCAGGGCCAGCCAGAGGTGGTATTTGCCAGTTCCCCGAACTACTCTAAATTTCTGCTACCGGTTCTCCAGAACTGGTCAGAACCTGCTGAATGCCACCTCTGCTGTGGATAGACAAACACATAAGTCACCTCTGCAACTGAAGAACCAACAGGAATGAATGCAAAGAGATTGAAGGAAGGTTGGATGAACTCCTGGGGTTTAATTGCAAAAAGAGAGTTGGCCATATGTGCCAGGAACTAATTCATTGCTTGAACCCTTTCTTGCATTGTGACAAAATTAAACCAACGAAAGGAGTGTTGTATTTGCGTGATGTGTGGCGTGGAATACTTCAAATCAAAACAACGGAGGTTTTTTTTTTTCATACATCACAGTGCAGGTTTGAACCCTTTGCATCCTTCATGGGCGTTGATAAAACCCTTTATTTTACAGTCAAAGGGGCTCCTGGCTCTTTTCCCCTCCTCTCTTCCTTGCACAATCCTGTGAACTTATTCAATTGCCCACCCCCCTCTTCCTTCCTTCATCTTCTACGTATCCATTGAATTGCTTGTCTTCTGCCCCACCATCTCGTTCTTCCCCAGTTAAGGCTAGGGACATATGGTGGCGTTATAATAACGACAGCATTCCTGGAGATAGGCCTGTGTTGTGTTGGCGGGGAGAGTCTCCCAAATGCCACCAAAGGATAGGACTCCATCGGAACCAGGTAAGGAACTGTGGAAAAGAAAAGGGAAGAGGTTAGAGCAGGGGTGCCAAAATCGATTTCGTTGAGAGATGCATCAGGGTTGTGTTTGACCTTGGGGGCGGGGGGGAAGGGTGGCATGGCCAGTCGGGGCGTGGCCAGCTCAATGTCACTCATGTTGGGGTCCTCTAAGGCCGTGATGGTGAACCTATGGCACAGGTCCCAGGTCGGCTGCAGCGCGCATGGGTGCACCAGCCAGCTGATTTTTGGCCTTTGAAGGGCCTCCAGAGGGCCGGCGGAGGCCATTTTCACTGTCCCTAGGCTTCAGGAAAGCCTCTGGAGCCTGAGCAGCAGTGGTGGGTTTCAAAAATTGTTCGAACCTACTCTGTGGGTGTGGCCTTCTTTGTGGGAGTGGCTTGCCACCCATGTGACCGGATGGGAGTGGCTT